CGGAGCCCACGTGGGGGATCCCAGTAGTCTAAATACCGACTTAGAACAATTGCTAGTAAAAAAAGTGGAAAGGTCAGAGGACGTTTCTGTCCACATAAAATAATGAATTTCAGTGAAAAGTGTCTCTTGGTCGTCAAGTCTGACAGTAAGCACAAGTCTTTTTTATCGTAAGTTCACGGTTTGCTGTTGTCATGTGGGTACAGCAAATCAAAACCAATCCGATTTGATGTGTGAAGGAACAGAGTAGAGGAACTCTTGTCTTGACGTAGAAGAATGCCAATGAGTGAATGGGAGGGGAAAGTCGTTAGCTAGGTCGGAATGTCCAACGCTTATTTGCCGTTATCAGCTAGCCTCAACGCAGATTGAGAGTATCCGGTCTCTGGTCTCTGGCGATTGAGTCCAAGACTCTACGAGGCATTTTGAGGTAAATTTCCGACGGTACGACAAATATGCCGGAACTAATTAGTTCAGTCGCCACGGTGATATGAGAAAAGCATGCATACTCCAATGACGAGGCAAAGCCAAGATTACTGGAGGTGTGTGTGCACAGTGGTTGGCATTGGTAACCCCATGTATGCACGTGCCACATGCATGTTGGCCTTCGCCAGTTCACAAACCAGACCCTATTACCCCGCAGTTCACACTCGTGACGGTTTTGTTAATGCCACACTGGGAAGTAGTGACTGCAGCCTGCCGCTGAGTCAGTGGAACGGCCTAATTGTATTATCAGTTGGCGACATGTTAAGTAATGAATTGTATCACGTATTACTGCATCTAATGTGCGTCCGATTCATTATAGTGAGCTTAGTAGGCACTAGACTGGTGGGAGAAAAGCTACTTCGAGTTTGTCTTCACACCATTCTTCCAGTGGATGTCAATGAAAACATCGAGTCCGGTTAAATAGAGACTACGTTGGACGCAGTAGCCGACATGTATACTACTTGAAACACTGCTGATTTATTCATTTAATTAAGCTTAAACTGCCTTAGCCGGTAAGAGCCATTTTTTCATACCCCCAGGTGAAGGGTCCTGTTTTTCGATACTTTTTGAATCTCCACAGTTAGCGGTTCTGACGGTTTGGAATAGCGGATCAGGTTAGTACTAGAGCTGGGGTTGGGATTTTGAAAAGATCTGATTTACAGTTAGGATAAGATCTGCTGGCCGAGTTTAGTTTTGGTGTTATGGCGAAGCCATTGTTCGGCTTTCCCAAGATAATAATTCTGGTCGGGGAGATCTGGGGTAGCGTTTCGGGTAAGTGATCAGGGTTATTGCTACGCCTTGGATTACATTTAAGTTGTCAGATGTGGGGTTGGCGATAGAAATGGACACATACTTGGCTTAATTGTACCCATAATCTTTATACTACATTAATCCTGCTTTCAGTCGCCTGATCCTACATCTGAATATAACCCCACCTCTTTCTTCTAATTTAACCTTATCTAGTCAGTCACGCTGACCACGCAAGACAGTAGAACTCGGTACCATTAAATTTAAAACGAGTGGTGAATAAAACACAAGAACAACTCGTCAGGGGGGCCTTGGCGACACTTCGCATCGTAAGTTCACTGAGACACCAATGTTTGCCTTCCATTTTAGTAGTTCCTCGGCCTGGTCAGTAGATCTGAAGGAAATTTCACCCATCTGTGTACTGACTGGCACTTTCAGGATTGAAAAGCCTGAAGCTCCAGCTAGCATGACTATCTCAAGGGATGATGACCACTTAAAAATACGTTAGGGCAGCTAAAGTTTTGTGGAGAAGTCGAGGCAGTAAGAAAAATGCGGAAACTGCATTTCCAGACCCGATCAAAAACGTCGACGCAGTCAATCCTTGACGGTTTATACTGAGTCCTGGAGAATATGTGCTAAGTAGGAACTCAGTCAACCGGACTATATTTTTTC